AATGCCAAAAGCACAATTACTGCTACAGGGCAGCACTGACTCAGTCACACCTTGACCTTAAGTACAAAAGTGATCACAAGAAAAGACTCACAACGTGACAATAAACGGAAAAGAAGACAAATCCCTATTTAAAAAAAAGTTTTGTATTTTTTAAGAATGGGAGCTCAACCATTATTTCCTTCCGATTTCTTTCTTAAGCCTTAAAAACAACCCTGGTTGCAACCTGAAATCATCTCATTTGAATGCATGCAACCTCCTCCTATTTTATTTATTGCATGGCAATTTATAACTGGGCAGCAAATTCAGCATAGTGGTTAAGGCATCAGGCTAGAAACTGGGAGACCATGAGTCCTAGGGTACAAGGCAAGCTGGAGGATCCTGGGCCAGTCCCTCTCTCTCAGCCCTAGGAAGGAGGCAATGACAAACCACTTCTGCAGGGACTTATCCAGGGAGTCTCTAATACCCAGATACAATTGAACAAAAGAAATATAATTATTTCTATTGCTTGAAATAACCAGGATATAAATAACTGCTATAGTTAAGCCCCTGGGTATCTTTTTATTGTGTTTGTTGTTTTATCCTGCTTTTTAAAATATATACATATATATGGTGGAAAACATTGCTAATCCACTTGCCTCCAATTTCCCCACAAGGACACAATGAAGTGAGTTGGGCTGAGAGCGACTGTCCCAAGGTCACCCAGCCAGTTTTCATATCTGAAACTTTTTTCTTCCAATTTTTTCCCCCAAACCCAGAACATATTTTTCTTTCTCACGGTGCCATTACAATTCTCTTCAGCATCCGGTCATCTTTTCCCCTTCTTTTTATGCCTGGTCAAATAGACCTGGATCTCCTGAGTCATCATCTCAGCCCGAGCTCATCCCACTCACTCCAGTGAAAAGACCTACTGGGATCCCTCTGGGCTCTTCTCCTACGGGAGGTGAGGTGGGGTCTCCTCCACACTCCTGGCCTGCTGGAAGACCTTCAAAACCTGCTCTGCCAGCTGGAGATAAGTTCCCAGACACCCACCCTGTGTCCTCCATCTTCTTACTTTTTAGTCTTTATTTAATCTTTCTTGACTTTAATTATTCTATATAAAGATTTGGATGGTGGATTTGAATCCAAGAAACCAGATGCAAATTCATTTATTCACCCATGAATCTCTTTGTGAGATTTTCCATTAATGTGATCACCCTATATGACATTTGGTCCATTTTTTTCAGGTAGTCCCTGGTTTACGACCACAACTAAGCCCAAAATTTCCGTTGCTAAGTGAGACATTTGTTAAGTGTATTTTGTCCTATTTTACGATCTTCCTTACCAAAGTTGTTAAGTGAATTACTACATTTGTTAATCACTACAACTCAGTTGTTCAGTGAATCTGCCCCCCAAATTGCCTTTACTGGTCAGAAGTTTGCAAAAGCCAATCACTTGACACTGCCATCGTCATAAATCTGAGTCGCTTGTCTAGCGTCTGATCCCCCTGACCTCAGGGGTGCTGCAACAGTCGTAAGGGCGAAAACCGGTCCCAAGGCACTTTTTTTCAGTGCCATTTGCAACTGCAAATGGTTGTTAAATGAACGGTTGTAAATCAAGGAGTACCTGCCTTCACCTTATGTCATTTGATAAGCCACTTTGATAAGCCACCTAGAGCCGCTGCAA